TCATTTAATTTTATATATTTTTATATTTTGTTATGCTCTTTTTTCATTCAAAAATAGTGTAACTTACATTAGGAATTGTTCTTATCACTATAACTCAAATATTAAAAATAGTATCATATATTTAATTTGATCATCGTTACAACTTAAATTTTTACATGATAAAAATTCTATGAAATATAAATGTTCACAATGTAATAACCATTTTTAAAATATATTTTTATCTTCTTTGTAAAGATACTTTTTTTTAAATATAAAGTTGTTTATATTTCTACCTATACTATATTGTACAGGTATTTTTTTTTAATCGGTTTAAATTGCAATTACATTTGCATTATAATACATATATTCCCGATATTTAAAAATCACTTCTGCATAAGTAATATCTTTGCAAATTACAGCATACACAATTATACTATTATAACATCACTATACAATTATTTAAACAAATGCAATGTAAACACGTATGGTTTTTGTTGTTTATGTAAATAAGTCATATTTACATTTATAATCTCAATGATAGTACTCTTTTTTTATTCTTATATTCTCGATAGAAGTATGAATAATACTGTAGATGTAAAATAACTAAATATATGAAATATCATTCATATTTATATATATGAAAAGAAGACGTTTGTAATATGCACAGAACTATGTAACGTTTAGTAAATTTAACTAACTATATCTTACACAACATGATATAAAAACCAAAATAAAAAGTGATTTTATATAATACTATTATCTAAACTTTATAATAAATACTTCATATTAAATTTTAACAGAAAAAACATTTTGTGTGTATCTATTAATTAAACAATTTAATAATAAAAATTTATAAATTATACTAAATTAAGCAACAGATTTCCTTGTAGAAAGGAATTAATTTCGTCAGTCTACACCTGCTCAGTAAAATTCATTTCAATTCATTTCTTTAAATAAGCTAGCAATATAGACCAGTTCCTTGATTTTTAATAACATATTTTTTTAAATATTGTGCAGCTTTCTCACTAAGTCCAAGATTTGGTAAATCTTTTTCAAATTGTTCTAACGTTCCAGCCCCTGCTATATACCCGTTTAGTTTAGCTGCTAAAGAAGAAGAACGTAATATTTCACCAGTTGTAAGACCAGTAGTTTCAATCAACCATGGATGATTTTGAAGACGATATTTTTGATGATAACTAAAAATAAAATTAGAATTCAATAAATTACACGCAAGAAAATAATATTTTATTAAGTTTTATGAATAACTTACTCTTCTGCAGGATAAAACTTTTCAAACGGTCTAATCTCAGTGAGAAAAGTTTCTCTGCGTTCGCGTTGTTCGTGGTCTTTAGATTTCTCAGCAATCATTTTTTGTTCTTCATCGTGATATAAAATTAACGACATATACTGCAAATTTCAAAATCACATTAAAGAAAGATATTAACATAAAACTAATATTACAATTAAATAGGAAAAAAAGTACAATTACTTGTCGCTTAATTTTAGTAATTAAACTATACTCATGATTATTCCAAAATAGACTAAGTAATTGAGCATATGACACAACATCTGGATCAAATTCAATGTCGATAACTTCGGTATGATCTCCCCTATTAAAGAAAGATAAACATAATCGAAAATGATACAAGCGATTAATAATAAATTAGAATGAAAAGTAAACAAAAATATATTACATATTTTTATATGTCGGTGTCTCTTTGGTACCACCTGAGTAACCAACAGAAGTCCTTATAACTCCGGGTAAAGCTCCAAAGAGGGAATCACCAGCCCAGAAACATCCCATGCCAAAAGTGGCACGCTTTCCTTCAACTTCTTCCAGCTGACCAGGCATTTTCTTTGGAAGACAAAAGTTACATTCGTACACATCACTGCTACACATGTCGTAGGATAAGGAACAGTTACCGAGATAAGAGAACACCGTTCGTGGTAAAGAAAACAGTAGAATCATCGTTAATAATACGTTGATAATATTTAATCTATTTAATTTATATAATCTCATTTTCTAACTCTTTCTCTATAAACTTTATAAGAAATTAAAAAAAATAAAATAAAATGAGATTACTTTACTACAAAATATTAAAATAAGATAATTCAAGTTCAAAGAACACGACACACGTGCGAATTAACGCGTCCACGTGTAATGACTGTGTTACGTTAATTTAAACGCGCCGAATATAAGTACTCTGACCATTGAACACGCACCAGAATGCGCGTGACTTATCAAGGCTAACCAACCGGTGGTATCTGAGACTAAACAAGTGTTCTAGTTTATCAATACTTTATTTAATAATGATTCTAATAAAACTTTATTTTTAAATTTATTATTTTAAAAGACATTTTATTAACAATTAAAAAAGTATATTTTTTGTTATTATATTATATTATATATATATATAATAATAAATTAAAAAATAATAATAATTTATATCGTTCCAATATATCGAATCGTGTAAAAGCACCTTAACGTTTCAAATCGTGGAATTAAATTGGAAAAGCGTTGATTTTTAATTTGCATGATCATCTTAACACCATTTACGAATTTTAACAACATATTTCATATCAAAAATCTAATATTAAATAATTATGATTTCATAATTAAGTTATATAGATGATACATTTGATATCTCATTTTAAGTGCGCGAAAAATTGAAAATATTATCTAGATAAATTTATAGTAATAAAGTAAAAAACTATTTAAAAAAAAAATAATTTGTTATATTGAATTATACCAATGTTACGTAAAATTGTATGTGCGATGAAATATAATTCTAAATAAATTTTACCTACGTTGGATGACGAAACAAATTAGATTCGTACAATCTAAAAGAAGAGCCTTCTTTCGAGGAGCCAAAAGACGAAATGAATCGAACGATTCTTTGCAAAGTGAAGTCACTAAGCAACCGATTCGAGCCGAGCTACACTTTTTATCTCCGCTTACCCTCTGTCCGTGTATCCCCTTCTCTATCATTTGTTTCCGAAACCAGTGCCGTATATCAATAAAGCCGATCATGTGAAAATTTAAGTATTATTATTTTAGATCATAAAGAATAATGGGTACAAAATTACATTAAGTAAGTTATATAGTTAAATATTATTGTTAAATGTTATAAACAGTAATAGGTAAAAAGGTAAGTTAGACATTATTTGGAAAAAAGAAAAAAGAAAACAGAACAAAATATTAGGTTTACTTTTATCAGCCTATTTTTGGTACGCTCATGTCTCGTTAGACGGAGGAGGAATACTCATATGTGGTTATGAGCAGAGTGGGGAAATTTCTTTAATACTGAGAGGGTTAAACGTGTTAGTATCCCCCCCGCATCATGAAATTTGTCTCTTCTCCTACCCCTTCGCCGTCATTTTTCGCAAATCATTCTTCCAATAACTAACTCTTCCTCACGTGCTATTTTTGTTAAGAACATCCTTGTTCCTTCTTTTTTTACGAACATACTTTTTTTTTAAACTCTTTTTCCTCACCAAGAATTTATTTCTAACAATTGCAGATTGGTATTCAAATTTTGTAACCAGCATCACGTGATCACGTATTTTCAGATGCACTTTAATTATAATTGATTATTATTCTTGACACATAATTATAAAATAAAATAATTATCTTTAACTTATTTTCAAAGTTCTTATTTAATTCGATTCATTGATTAAAGTAATCCATTGTTACTATTGTTTTTTTTAGATTTATTTGAACTATTTCAAAATAATTTTGTTTAAATTACGATTATTCTCAAATGTTCAACAGCCAATTAGACGGGCTTAATTTTTAGTCCAATCATAACGATCGAAAGATAGTAATGATTTCAGTAGAATAAAAAGAGAAAAAAGGAGGGAACAAAATTCTAGCTTACCTTATCATTTACGTTGGAAGAAAAATTTTGCAAACGAGTGCCAATTTTTGTTGTCCTTTTACAAGTTCTTAAAATAAATGAAGATGCCATTGTCGTAAATTTATAATTTTTTCTATACAATTGTAACGTTTCGTATAATTAAAATAAAAAGGTTAAAGCGTTAAGAATAGGTATTCTCTTTGAATGTAAGAATTTTCTGTTTCCATGTAACTAACACAGATAATTATTTTTTCTAATTAATATTATATCTAATAATTGATAATTATAAATCTTTAACAGATCACTCTGAGGAATATTGAGGTTAGGCGTAATATGATCAACCCTAAATGCTTACACTGTTTCACACTATTCAAGGTAAGAACTAAGCGCATGCACTGAAAATATAAACTAACATGTGCGAAAAGTATCGAATGGGGTTAAGTATATCACCCTTCGATACGTATTACATTATTCTCAAACAACATAATATAATTTGAATATTATAATATAATCCCTGTCATATCATTTTATTTCTAATTAATCGTATTATTAAATTTCTAGTAAAAAAAACGATCGATAAATCAAAATTAATTATATGTTAAATACTTTTACAAATAATTCGTTAGATAATCGAGATAAAAGATAAACTCCATATTGATTATATAAGATCGCATTAGAGGTAAAAATTCGCGGGAATTAATGCGAATTTCAAATAAATTTCTACCAACTTAAATTCAAAATCGTGTAAAACTTTCTGTACCTATTTGTAATAAAATATGATCGTTAATGTATACATTTTATAGTTTCTCTTAACATCCCGAAATCAAACTTGGAAAGATCGGAAAATTTTTTTAAAATAAATATTAAAATTCAATTCATGCGCAATCATTTTAATTTGATAATTGATCGATAGATAGTTTATCGCCACCTTGCGGGTCAGTTAATATTTCTTTATATATCGTACTAACCATAAGGACAATTGACAATTTATAAAGTTTAATAATCTACGATTACTAGTGAGTTGCATCAGAAAAAGCAAGTGGTACAAGTTTAATTAAATAAAATTACAATTGCGAGACGGTGACTGATGTAATCTTTCTTCTGACAGTGCTAAGCTTTTGACCGGCACATTTAAAACTCTTCTGTCATTGATACTCTTATCATTAAATTCATCACCCGTTTAGTTGGGATGTTGCTATGTAATCTTAAATTTTTTTATATTTTTATCTAGTCATTAAAATGTCATTCAATATTAAGATAAAATTCAAATAAATGTTTTATATTATTTTTCTATGTTTTACTAGTTATATATTATTTAAAGAAAATCTTCACGTAATCTACTTCTTACAATAAACTTTTTTATGATATTGTGCATGCAATACATATTGAGTTGTTGCATCAGATCAATTTCTTTGTCAGAGTTATTTAACCCAGTTTTATTATACTCAACTCATTGTCATTCTGACTTTTTCAATAAGCTTATTTAATATTGCTTATTTTATAAGATTTTTTCTATTTAAATGATAGTTGTAAACTAAACGGATTCAATATGCAATTATTCTTTTATTGTACTTTTGAGGTTAGAGATATTTAAAATGCATAGGTTCGTTTGACTGATGCACGTGCATGATTTGTATTAGCATGTATCTTAATATTTTATTATATATTTCTTTAATAACGGTACTATATTAGTATATATAACTACATGTATTTTTTATAGGTTATAATATAGTTATTTTTATGAAAGTACAAAGAGAAGATATCATTGAAAGAAATATTAATTGTAAAGTACTATTTTCATAAAAATAATAATTGTATAATTTATTACAACATGGTAACCTCAATGGGATCTATATGCAGCACTCTTGGTATTGATAGAGTGGACATGCTTGGAAGAATAGTTTTAATTGAAGAGCAACATGGTTGTGATGCTAATTTTTTAACAAATGCAGTTATTTCTAATGCATTGGGAAAAGACTATGGAATTTGTTTTGTACTTTTTCATAATACATTCAATCATTATCACAACGTGGGTATGAGAAGTGGTTATAATTTAATGACATTAAAAGAAAAGGGTAAAGTAACTTTTGTTGAACCCATGAAAGAATTAATGCATAATATAAATGACATATGCATGGATACTGACATTATGGATGTTGATAATAGAATTCTCTCTGATTTAAATAGTACAGATACAACTGTGGTTGATAACATGTTTAAACTTTTAAAAAATAGCTATAATGAAATGGCAAGTCAAAATGAAAAAGTTTTAATAATTATAGAAGATATTTCTCATTTGTCTGATTTAGGATTAAGTTTTAGAGATTCTATGCACTATGTAAAGTGTATAAGATCACTTATGGAATCTTATCCGATGACACAGCTGTGTGTTACAGTACATACGTACCAAAATAATGTACAAAGTTCTATTCCTGATTTTATTAGTAATAATTTTAAATATATAGCAGATCTTGTTCTAATAGCAGAACCATTAACAACTGGTCATTCGAGTGATGCTTCTGGGAAAATAACAGTTAATTGGAACATAGATTCTGTAAGAAGTGAATATCATTGGACAGAAAAAATGATATATTTATATAAATTACTAGATTGGCATGTAAGAATATTTGCTCCCGGTGCAACAACAATATCTGTGACATAAAATATTTCTTTATAAAAATATTAATGAGTTAAATTATTTCATTATTCTTAGTGCTTATCCTTTTATTGCTTAGAGAGTGAAGACTCACGATGATAGATAATCAGCATACTTCACTTAGTGATGTTCAATTTAAATTACTGAACATTTATTTAATATACAAATTGTTTATTGCTTTTGACAGCATTTAAAATAAAGGAGAAAATGGGTTTAAGGCAGAGTATATACGAAAGTAGTCCTATACAAAATTATTATAAATTGTCTTCCGAAGAATATTTGTTAATTAAAAAATTATGGACAGAGATTGAAGATAAGCCTCAGTATTATGGAAATTTATTCTTTACAAGGTATATATCTCATAACTAATGTCACCTAACTATATACTACCGATTAAAATAATTTACGTTAAACCCCCTCCCCCCAAAAATATCTTCAGTTTTCTTGGAATGTATCCACAGTACGTAAAATATTATACTTTGAATCCACGTATACCTCTTTGCGTGGATGTTCGCCTTTGCGCAAAATTCACACTGATTATGGAAGCTATAGGATACCTTGTGCTAGATGTTTATGGAAATCGAAAACAATTAGATCGTTTAGTCGGTTACGTTGCTATGGTTCACAAAGATATGCGCTTAGATAAAGGAGACATGACAGTATGTCATTATGGTGACTAATAATAATAATAATAATAATTACTACTACATAAAAATACAATTCAATATTTTATTACTATGTAAATATATAGTACTACTCACGAAGACAATTTTTACAAAATTTGCGCGCACGTTATTAATTTTGTAACTAAGAATATTTTACCATAATCCACACAACCATTAGTTGTAATGGTAAAATTTCTATATATATTTTGTAAAATAATTAATATCTCTTTTAGAATTTTGAAACGAGCTTTTTGCGATACTTGGAACAAACCTTTCCAGTTCATATGACTGGAAAGTGTCAAGAAGCAATGACAATGTATATTAATAGTATTGTAAATGGAATCGTAATTAAGATGGAGGAGTTTCGTCAATACGAAATAATCAAAGCGGATGCAATACCGCGATCGGTAAGATTTAAAAAAAGAAAGAAAAAGTCTTTAAATAGGCATATTTAGCTTATATGCAAAATTTTCTATATGCAAATTATATAAGCTCAGGTGTATCAATTTAATTACAAACATAATTGTTTATTTTAATTATCTATTAATTAACTTTGATAGTATAGTATTTCGGTCGTTGTACACTTTGTACCAATAATTTGGTATTCGGTCAGACAATGACATATTGGAAAGACAGAAAAAAGGATTGGGATGTGTTATTGAATGATTGGAATGCTAAAAATTCGTTCTTAGAGCCAAGGAATACTATTACGATCAGTAACTATGATAACGAGTTAGCATACGAATTGAAAACCGAGGACGAGACGATTGAATTACCTGAATTGAAAGTAGAACGTGATGACAAACACAAAGAAGATACTATTACAATCGTTAAACCTGCTCTCGTTCAAGAAGTAAAAGTATTTTTTTTTTTAATAATATATATACATGTTACTTGTTCGTAGATTAATTATTATAAAAAAACAAATTATTGTTAAGTTAAAGAATAGATCTATAATCGTTTCATAGAAAACGAACGATGATAAGAAAAACGAATTCAAGGACGAATTATCATCGGAACCTAGGGGAGTTGTGGATAATAAGAAGGATCCTGAGAAAATGTCGAAGGAATCGAATTCATGGAAATCGTCTGCGCGGGAACAATTAAGTTATTCGCCGAGTACGAGTCCTCGAGAAAGATATCGTGCCTTTAGTATAGTCCGAGAGGCCATAGATCCTCAAAGCGATCCTGGAATACTTCGTAGAAGACTCCGAAGTAGTCGTATGGCGGTCAGACCTACTATTAGTGAAATCATCAAGCAAGACGAATACACGACAGATCTTGAACACGTTCAACTTCGTAAATTTTCTAATACGGCACGTGAAAGACGTCGAGAGTCGCAAAAATTTAGTTTCGATCTGAAATAAACAATTAATTGATATAATAAGGTCAATCAATGATGGAAGAAGGAAAATGTCAAGAACAATATTTCGATTGACAATGCTTAAATATTCATCAAAGAAATGATGCATCCTTTAATATTCTCGATACGATCGATCTAAGAAACGTTTATCAAAACTAGTTGACCATATTGTAAATTCACTTTGACATTTATCCTTATCTAACTATGTCATATAAGTATATACATAACTTTATTCTTTTTTTATACTATATTAATCGATTTATTTCGGAACGTAATGAATTGACCAAACGAGACGAGTTGTCTCATAATAATAATAATAAATAAATAAATAATAATAATAATAGTAATAATTTATGCATAATTACTTCAGCTCGGTTTTTCTTGTTCGTTTGTCCTTTTTAATGCATTATATCGATTATTGTTGCTTTGCGAATATCTTACAGAATCCATGCTATCATCGCTGGATATACGCCGGAGTTTTCTAATCCTTTACAAAAAAAAAAAAGATTTGAAGTTATTCCTTTCTCGCGTTTCTGTAAATTGGTATTGTCAATATTTAGAAAACAAAAGACAGGAAAAGGAAAAACCAAATGTTAATTTATGATAGTACTTTTGAAACAACAATGATAAATATTCTTACGGATTTCTCGTTGTATTTGAAGATGGAATTGGTGGGAAGAGAACTGATGGAGAAATTAGAGGCTGTACTACAGGACCCATTACTCTTTCCACGTCAGGAGGTTCTTGAATGGGTGGCAAGGGTGATTGATCCCAATCAGAATCTGTTGAACTAATTACATATATATATAAAGTATATAGTAAGAAAATCAATGTTTTTATTTATTATTAGTTTACTGTCATAATTACTTGGCATATATATAATTACAATATTATTACCGTATATAAAATTGTTCGTCGTTAAAAAGACATTTTTTCTCATCCATGTGCTTTAAATTGTTTCAATTTCTTTTCGATATATCGTGAGTTAATGTGTAACGTGCCAGATAAACATGAAAACAGGGGATGGAAAATCGATGATGCGTTTTATGTACGAAAGGGAAGTTAAAGTTTACACAGTTGGAAAGTATTACTTTGTATTTCCTACGCGAAACGATCGATAACACACGGAAGAAAGAAAGAAAGAAATAAAGAAGAGGGTCATCGATGAATTTTCTTTATTGTTGTCTAGTCTTGTCTTTTTTTTTCAGAATCTATAAGGATATCTTTTGCGACTAGAAAACAACTTTAAGAGTCTGAACGTCTGATGTAAAAATACTTTCTTTTTTTATTCATAACAAACTTTATTCCAATAGGCATATATATTTGATGAATAATCATGACTGGTTTGCCGCAATAGAATATCAAGGCGTTCGATAACTACGTGCACGCCATACATATAAAAAGTACAACCCAATCGATAATATTCATATAATCGGTTTATATTGTTGTGCTTACCTGCTTGGTATTCTGCTGTCGTTGTTAAAAGTATCATAACTCAGACTACTAGATATAGGTGGAAGTTTAGCACCAAATGCTACGGATGAACATGTCAGATCTGCTAGATTACTGTCTACATATGTTGCAGCTTGGATTTCTTGTTGATACAGTAAATATAAATTTTGTAAATCAGGCGGTAGAGTCAAACGTCCATCTGGGAAAAAACTACATCGTTAAAATATTCACATTTTTATTAAATTATTTAACGTACCTTCCATTATACGTCTCTGTCTCGTGATTATCTCATCAGAAATTTGTCTTTGTCGATCATAACGCAAAAGTAAAAGCTCTCGTCTTCGAAGTTCGTGTTGTTTTACTAATCTTTCACTTTGAAGCATCATTTTGTCTGCTTCCAGTTCGTGGACTCTTAACATTAACGCTAAAAGTTCACGCTCTTCGTCCGAATTTATGCGAGATGGTAGTTCCTAGAAGAAAATTAATTTTAGTTGATGTTCCTTGTTTTTTCAAGTGTGTGGATTTGTTTATTTATTTTTTTTTTTTTATATACTTACATCTTCTAAAGCGACACTTCGTTTTCTGCAGGACTCCAGTTCTTTTTCTGTAGCTGCACGCATTTCAACATATCTTTCCTGTTCCTTAGCAATTTCTGTTAATTCAGCCCAAGCTTGTTGTACCAATGAATCATCTTCGAGATCAGTATCTTCTAGAAGATCTGAAAACGTCAAATATTATTAATCCTCGTCCTAAAGTGTATTGAGATTATATAATTTTTTTCAGGATCATATAATATTTTTCACTTGCCTATATCATCAACTTCTTCTACTTGATAATCAGTTCCAGGACGACGATGTACCGAATCCCTACTCGATCCGTACACCCTGTTGTTTCTTGATTCCCATTGAGAAATAATCGAGTGCTGTTGTTCCGCAGCAATATTTAATCCTAAAAGATGACTGTCCAGTTCCATAAGCTTCCTCCTGTTCGTCAATCATTTTTAAATAAAACTGCAAGTTATTATTTTTGTCTAATATCGATTTACTCTCTATAAACATTACCTTAAACGCATTTGTTCTTTAAAAGCGGATACTATTTTTTCTCTTAAAGTTCTAAAATCAGAACCATGACCATCCTGTTGCTTTTCGTCGTATCTGTCCGAAGGTCTATCTTCTTTCATTTTATTCCTCAGCCGTGAAATCTCACTTTTCAGATCACTGATAATGTCTCGGTATTGGGCAACGTGAAGATAACTAACGTCAAGAACATTTCTTTCTACCTTGTTAGAAATTTTGTTAGCACGATCCGCATAATTCAAGGTGTTTTTACTCTCGTCACGGTGTATACTTGCAGGTGAAACATGAGCAATCATAACTGTGCGACAGTTACCACCAAGTGCTTCTTTAAGTAATCTGGTCAATTTAGAGTCACGATAATTAACGAATCTGGCACCACCGGATAAAGCCTTGATGCAGTTGCTCAGTGCCAATAATGATCTGTTAATATGACCACCTTCTTGAAGACGTTTACCTTTGTTCTGAACACACGAACTCGATGTTAATTGGATTGATATAAGGTAAAAATCTTTTAAGTAATAGGATCGTTGATATATATAAATAAGAAGAAAATTAATATTCTTTTTGAAATGTTTCTTGCACCTGAGTTTGTTTGGCTCTCTCCGAACCAGCAAGATCTATCATGAAGAGTCTACCCTGTTTTACTTTAGTCCGATGACGTTGTTCGCTATCAGAATAGGATGATTGTCTAACAGTGACACTGAGAAGAGCGTGACTCCTCGAAGAAGTTTCATTAGCAGCCGTTGGTTCGACCATTCTTGCTTTATTGCCTTTGTGAAGGAGTTGCATGACCTGTCGATGCACGAAACATGCTTACAAATAAATAATTATCTTACTACGATGATATCGATCGTTGTGTCAAATTATACATTCAAAGAGTTACACGTGCTTAGAGTAGGAGTGCTTAGAACTTATTAGGTAGGTACGTTCGTTCAAGGAAATCAAGATTCGATCTACGGAATAATCCATTAAGGCTTAATTCCACTTCGGAAATTTGTAGGTATAGATTTGGAAGGAAGATTCCAATAAACTTACTTCCTCGGTCGAATTAGTGGAGATTTCCGTGAGACCCGAAACTTGAACGTTGCGACCTCGAGAATCCTCACGCAATTCCAAATATCCTGTACTAGGGTTCAACAAGTCACGAATATTTTCGTTGTATATTTCTACATAAGACATAGTAACCTGTAAAATTAAATGTAATAATGAATTTAAACGTTATCGAGTTAAATCAAAATTAATAGTATATAGTATCAACGATCTTACAGTAAATTCTATGTTGTTCGATAGTTGTCGGGTAGTTAGAAAAATATCATTCAAAGCTCGAACCATGATCCCTGGTTCTGACGATGTTCCAACCATGGTATGGGTTTTTCCAGCTCCAGTAGCTCCATAAGCAAATACTGTAGCATTATAACCATTGAGAACATCTTGTACCAAATTTTTCGTTGTATTTTCGTACACGGCTTCCTGTATAATCAATATTTTATTATAGAAAAATATACATATATATATATTAATTGTTTTTATTATATAAAATTGTTTATACCTGCGTCGCATCTTCCCCAAAAACAACGTCAAAAAGATATTGCCGTGGAAATGAACGTTTTGATTTCTCACCAATAACTTCTTCTAGCATAACCATCTGTATAGTTATTTTTATATCTCGTTAGCTTTTATATTTCCATTTTAACTGGATGACATTTAAAATTAGTGTAGATCCCTTACCTTATCGTTAATGGCATGAATCGTTCTAGCACCGGTTTCGCCTGGTGTTAGGGGCCTTATACGTACAGCAACCTAATCAATAAAATAATTTATTGTCTTATCTATATATCCTTATAAATGTGTATTTACATAGGGCAATAAGTAAAAGATAGAAATCGGCGCATTAAATCTCTGTGGAGAAGATAATAAGTGATCTTACAAAAAATAAAATAGAAAATCGTCTACTTCCACATCATTAATAAATCATTGTCAAGTTCAGGAGTTGTAAGTGATTTTTTTTTCAAATCGATTCCCCTGTAGTTATACGTGAGCACGTATTAGCTCAACGACCCATGCTTAATTTTTTATTACGTCTTTCTTCTTCGACACATGCGACATCAGAATTGCTTGTCACGCGATTATCAAGCATTTACTTGATGAATCATTTCCTATTAACTTTTCTTACATATTTAAAATAATACCGATTCTAATCAATTGCAACATTTAATGCAATACCAGAAGATACCGCACGAACACGATTGATTTTCTCTTTTAGATTTTAAATATTAATCTTACATGTTGTATTACAAATAACGAAATAATAAAACTGTTCGTATTTGTTGAATTTAATTTAATATTAAGGATTAGAAGAAGGAGAAAAATAAGTTATTGATAATATTTACGCACCCTTAGTTTCTCTTCGATCGTTTTCGATGATCGATCTTTAAAATCACGATGGCCACTGCTACTCGTGCTACTGCTACTTCCACTGCTACTATATTGCGTCATTTTACGACTAACTTTTCAATACGTGATATCATAAACAAATTAATGCAATAAAATCGTATGATAGTTAGATTAAGTATCATAGAATATATAAATATATATAAAACTATATACATATATAGTTAATCTTATATTCACCATATGTCACAAATTTATCCATTACACAATAATTATTTTCTACTATCGTAAAAACAAACAAAAAAATTATAAACAAAAAACAAGACGTATCAAAATAGATCTTTGTTACATTTTAAATTTTTTCTAAACAATAATTTCTAATTACAAAAAAATAATCGTTCACTTTCCCTCCTAAAAAAAAACTTGTGTTAC